TTAATGTAGCACTTTCCTTTATTGTAAGAATAATTTACTTGTTTTGTTTAGTCTTGTTTTTCCATACAACATCAACTTGTATTTGAGCCACTTTCTCTCAAGTTGGAGTTTCCTGCTATTTCTTCATTTGGTTCTTTGTTAAGTGTGAGGCATCCTGTGAAAAATCACAATAGACAAAAATATAGCATCTGAAGTACCATCCTGAAAGGCTCTTAGAGCAGTTTGCAGATTGAGGAGGACAGTTTAAAAAACACTGCAAAGGAAAAGGTATGATGCAAGGGAAGAAAAGACAGACCCCAATTCTTAATGTTATATTCAGGCTCTGCATAGAGTAGATAGCCAAGTTCTATTCTGTTAAACAGTGGGACTTAGATGCTGCTATGGAGAAGCTTTAATAGTGGATGTGCAAGTGTCGCTATTCAGGAATTATTACAAGCTATCATTCAATATATTCTTGTGATCAGATGTAAATTTTTCAAGGTGTGTTTCTTTTATATACTGCTCCATTCTATCTTCTGAAGTTGACTTTAAAAAAAAAACTTGAAAAGAATCTAGTAAACTGGTCATGAATTTCCTTTCCCACATAATGTAATTCCATTGTCTTTTTCATCCTATTACAGATCTTTCCATTTCTCTTTTAAAACAGTACACTAAGTATCTCCCAAATATATTTGCATGTTTTAAATCATTTGTTTTAAAAAATTCAAATTTCAACATCACCTGGAATACTGTGTCAAGTTCTGGGCACCAAGATTTAAGAAGGATGGAGGTAAATTAGAAAGGGTCCAGCGGAGGGCAACAAAAATTATCCAAGGTTGGAAACACTGCCCTGTGAGGAAAAACTGAGGGAACTGGGCATGATCAGACTTGAGAAGAGAAGACTGAGGGGAGACATGATATCTCTCTACAAGTACCTCAAAGGCTGTCATAAAGAGGTAGGGCAAGATCTCTTCTTGCTGATACCAGAATGTAGGACACAGAATAACCAGTTCAAGTTGCGACATCCCAAATTCAGGCTGGACATCAGGAAAAGCTTCCTTATGGTCAGAGCAATACAACAGTAAAACCAACTGCCTAGAGAAGTGGTGGGTGCTCCCACACTGGAAACATTCAGAAAGAACCTGGACAGCCATCTGAGTGGGATGGTGTAGGGTAGTGTCCTGCAAACAGCAGAGGGTTGGACTCGATTCTATGATTCTTTTGTAACTCTTCTGTCCCTGTCAGGTCTAATTCATTTCTTATGTGTCTAAATTCAAGTTACGATTAATTTGTCTTGTACTTTCTTATGATGGTCTTCTACTATTTGAATTATTTTCAGGAGCTTTTTAATTTGTTCTAATTTTTCTCTCTCCTTAGATGCTATTGCTAAAAATTTTCCTCTAATATAAACTTTATTAGGTTCCCATATTGTTGCTATTTGAGACCTCACTTGCATTATTTAATCTAAAAAATTCTTCCAAATCTTTTTCAGACTTCTTCAAAATATATTCTTGTAATAAATGATTGTCATTCAATCTCCATCTTCTTCTTTCAGCTTGCTCTTCTCACCACATTATTTCTAATGGACTATTACCCTGCCCTTTTTGAAGTATTAACTTCCATGGAAATCTTGTATTTTTGCAAAGAAGGCTTCAGGTGCTCAGTGCGTGCCCCTACTGCACAGAACAATTTGTTTGTTTGAAGAGTGATTTAGATCCAAGCCTTCTGCTGACAGAAGTTCTACCAGTGGAACCCAAGAGGAGGGCACTTTCCCCTCTACCATGCAGGTTACTGTGCTGACTCAAAAACTGCTCCAGAGGTAACCATCTGGATCAGATTTTTCTTCTTCATGATATGCATCACACTTCAGGGCTCTGTGACTGTACAGAATTTCTATAACTGAGGAAATTTTGGTGGGAATCCTTCCCCACTGTAAGAATACACATATCATGAGCAGGTTCCAACCTATTTCCTCAGTTCCTCTTCAGTCACCATTGTGGTTGTCTCTCAGGGAACTTTGCCTTCCCCTTCAGGAGATGATGCTATATGGTTTGCTTTTCAGCAATCTTCACTTGCTTCTTTCACTGCAGAGGCTTATGACATCAAAGGCGGCTTTTTCAAAGTGCATATACTGTGGCGGTAAACTTCCCCCAGCTGATCATCACAGTCACGCTATCTGCTTCACTTACATGAGGGACATTTCATTAACCCCTGCCCACATTGTAGGCTTTCACTAAGCAAGCCAGGGGAAACAGATAATGGGAAATGAAGACTCTTCTCTGGAAGAGGCTGTTAGAGGCAGTGGAACTTCTCTCCCTGCAATGGTCATGCCACGTTTTTTTCTTCAAAGGGGACCCTACTTTTCTGTCTACTGTTACCTTCTTCCTTCACCATTTGTTCCAGCAATAACCAGAGTCCTAATGGACCCTCCATGCAGTTGATCCCTCACAGTTCTGCTGGCAAAAAAAGATTTCTAAATGGGCTTATTCCTCAGCTTATTCAGAGTGACCAAAAAGAAGAGGGAGAAAGAGTCTAAAGAACACCCAAAGGAGTGTATCCAATTGTCTCTAGTTCAGCTACTGCCACCATCATATCTCCTTGATTCTCCCATACCAACTATACCTTCTTATCCAGTATCAGGGTCTATTCCAATTGCCTCATCTCTGAAGGAGAAAGGAGAGGAAACTTCTGTGACAAATCCCAGCTTCTGGCAGATGAAGACTATCAGTCAGACACAGCTGTAGGGACATTTGAACGTGCAATTTCTTCATCTTCCCCTCATCCTTACACTGCTCACAGCAGGTCAGGGTCAGATCTGAGGATGTTTAAGCCCTCAGTCCAAGAGATGCTAAAAGTAACTCGTAAACCTTCTACCATGGCTTCTGTGCAAGGAAATAAAAAGCTCTTCGTGTTTTCCAAAGAGTTCATTCCTTCTATGTGCCCTGTTTTCCAAATATTACATTTTCTATTATCACTACTTCAGAAGCGTTTAGAACTTTCTTCTCTCCAGGTTTATTTGGCTGCAATGGCTGTCTATCATTCCCTGGTGGAGGGGTTTTCATTTTTTCACACCTGACAGGGAAACAGTTCCTTCAGTTGCTCATAACATTGCTTCCTCTGTGAAGCTGCTTACTCTCCATTGTAGCCTCTTTGTACTACTGAGGACACTGACTGGGAAGCCATTTCAGCCCATAGCTACCATAGACCTAGGACTGCAATTGTGGAAGGTGGCCTTCTTAGTCACTATCACTTCACTTCACCAATCTAGTGAACTCTGTGAGTGTATATTGCATATCTGACTTTTCAAAAGAGAAGATTGTTCTCTACCCAGATTTTTCTTTTCTATCTGAGCTGGTATCTGACTTTCACTTCAATTAGGATATTGTCTTACCTCCATCTTTCCCTTCACTTCTACACCACTGGAAGTGACTGTTCATGCCTTCAATGTTAGATGTATTCCTGCTTTTTTATAAAGCAAACTTTGAAGCATTTCAAAAATTGCATGCTTTTATCTGTTATGGAGAGCAGAACAAGGGCCTGCCAATGTCTTTCATCCTGGGATGTCTAACCTATACTCCTATCTTAGCAGCTTCAATAAGCTGGTAAGCACTCCAGCTCAGTGCTCTGATCCAAGCTAACTCCACATGCACAGCTACCACCTCTACTGCATTTGCTCAAGGTATCTTGCAGATTGAGTTGTGTCAGATAGCTACATAATTGAAACCATGTACTTTTGTACAGTATTACCCGGTAGACATTCAGAGTGGCATCTGCTTAATGTTCAGGTGTGGTCATCCGTTCTGCATTAATGACACTGATCCACCTCCAATAACACAGCTTGTTAATTGTGCATATGTGTGATACAGAGAAATCACAAAGAAGAAAGTGAGGTTGCTTACCTGTAACTGTGATTCTTCAAGTGGTCACCTGTGCTTTCACACAGACTGCTCCACAGTCCCCCACCTCAGTGCCATCATAGAACCAGAAGGGGTGCATATTGCCACAGGTACTGATGCTCAAATTGAAATGCTTTCAGTTCCAAGGTCACAAGAACTGGTCTCAGCAAACTGAGGGATGAGGTGCAACCCTGATAACAACATGTGTTCTACAACAATGGGAAAAGGTTCCTGCCAAAACCTCTCAGCTACAGAAATTTGCTGAATCAAGGTTCTTGTACGGATGCAAACCCCATTTGTGTGAATGCACAGGTGACCACTTGTCATAGTCCACATATCCAACCTGTCCATCAGACTTATGGGTAGCCTGGAGGGCTGCAGTGTGTGTGTGTGTGTGTGTGTGTGTGTGTGTGTGTGTGTGTGAGAGAGAGAGAGAGAGAGAGAGAGAGAGAGAGAGAGAGAGAGAGACCAAGACCAAGACCAAGACCAAGACCAAGACCCAAAACAGTATCCATAGTCTGCTGTTGCAGCATTGGCTCTAACCCTGAAACACAGCCACACACCCTACCAGTATGGTTCCACTCTGTTTCAGGAATCTGGAATTGCATCATACATGAGGCAATTGCTGCACTTAATTCATGTTAAGTCACTGAGAAATAGGAAGACTGTTTTAGTGCCAGTCTATGGTTGCAAAGGGCTAATCTACTGTATGGTAATGTTTTATACATACATAAATGGCTGGGGGAAGGACATGGTCCCATATCCATACCAGGTAATACATTGTAGGAGTGGGTGGCTCTTCTTGTTTTTCCGCTAAGGTGTATTTCCGATCATTGCATTAGATAGGTTTCCTTAGGGTATGCTATCTTCAAACTAGTTTGTACTGCTAAAGGTATATTCCCATGAATGTTATCTCCAATATGCTACTCTGTCACACTTGTCTATAACAGAATTTCTGTATAGTAGAATTCTGATTTAATAAAGGCACATATATATGTATTGAGTCATGGTTGATTGTTCTAAGCATTTATGCTGCATTTAATAACCAAGGTTTTAAAGAAGTCTTATATAAGCACAACAAGGAAAACAAAATAAGAATTAATTTTAATCTGTTATCCTTTCCAGGCAATTCCAGAAAACTCATCCAGTTTGCTAGTGAAAGATCATCTTTTCCAACAAGAACCTATCGTGAGAAATGATCCTTACAAAAGCTTAAATATAAGACCGTCAGCCTTTGAAGATTTGAACTCCAGAAGATCCTACTTTCACAGCCAGTCCAACCAGGTAATACTTCTTCAACTAGACAAATAGATGATTTATTAAGTGTTCTGACATTATTTACATCAGATTCAATTAGCTATTTTAGTGTCCCATTTCAGTCATGATGAGAAGCCATGGTTTCCTGTTGTGTCAGGGAGCCAAGACACAACTGCATTTACTTACTCCTTTTTCACACATAAGAGAAAGAGATTGGAAGCATCTTCTTCCTTTTTCAAACAAACCATGGTTCCCTGAATTCAGTCATTGCAGGGAGCTGGGGCTTGTCTACGAGTGGGTGCTTCTGATTTCCATCTTGCAAACCCAGTGGTCGGGAGGACACACACAAACACACACACTCCATTCAGAATGTTCAAAGTCATGGTTTGCCATTACATGTGAACTGTGCCAATATGTGAAATGGCAGCAAAGCCCCTCTGCCATTATGCATTCTGTGCTTCTTTGCTTCTAAGAACATAGGAGGCTGGACATTACTGAGTTGGTCCAGTAATGTCCAGTACTGTCGACACTACTTGGCAGCAGTTTGCTAGGATTCCCGGCAGGAGTTGTTCTATCCCTGCCTGGAGATACTGAGGAATGAACTGGGAAGTGTCAGCATGCAAAGTAGATGCATAATACCCCTGAATTATGTGGGGGAACTGGCCTCTCCAGCTCAAAATCTGCACATTTACCTATGACCTGGTTTGCAGCTGGAAAAATGAATGCCAGTGGCTTTTTTTCACCCCTGCCTACTGTCACATGCTATAATTACCCCCAGAAATGTTAGTTCATGTGAACTCAGCCAGGGTGACTTGTTGCCATAGCTAATAAGCCACACCGTGGGTTCTTGGTGGCTTGTTACTCTTGGCAAAAACCACCCTGGCCAATTTCATACAAGCTGTGCTGCTAAGGGTAATTATATCCCTCTGGGAAGCACCAGGGAGTGTGAGAAATAAGTCACAGTGGCCCATTTCCCCTTTCATAATTATACAGCCAAACTTCCTTTCCTTGCTTAGCCCATTCTACTCCAATACCATACAATCTCTCCTGTTTGTAAGTACCATGTGAATTTTTACTCATTCAGACTTTCTTATTGATATATATGAATTCTGTGCCTTACCTCTACATAATTCCTTGCCTTTTTAAAAACCTTCCTATCAGTCACAGTTGGCCACATAACTACTTCTGCCAACTCCTGCTATTCTCCTCCATGGTCCTCCTTGTCACACATCTCCCATTTTCCTCTTCCCAGTTTCCACTGTTGCCACCAGTCAAGCTCCTCTCTCTCTGTCTCCTTCCTGTCCTAGACATTAATTTTATCCAACCAAAGAATTCTTCCCTTCACAGCAGTGCTCAGCTTTTTACATAACCAGTTAGAATGTTAAATAGAGCTAATACCCAAGGAAGACTTAGGTATCATCCAATTTTGGAGGTCAGTGCATATTTTTATGAGGCCTTCACAAAATCTACTCACTCAGGCAAGGACTGTGTCTTAACATGACATGAGAAATCTCCCTTCTCTCTTGACTCAAAAGAAGAGAGGCAGGATATCTCAATCTGTGTTGAGTGTCCAAGCAAGCATACAGTAAACAAGCCATTGACACTGATCCTGCTTTCACTGAAGACCCTTCTTCCATGGCTGAAATGCTCTGCTACCACAGAGGGAACCACTGGCTTTTATGGTGTCCTACTATGATTTTAGAGAGAGGGGAATAAAATGTCTGCATGCATTAAAATTAGTGTGTCTTCTTTTTAATTGTTGAAGTTCTCAGATACTTTGTGGAGAAAACAAACCATATCATGATGAACCGAAGTAATTCCTTTTTAACCTTTTAACTGCTTTAATGGATGCTGTGCCTTATTTTAACTGGATCTTTGGTTAAGTGACAGCCAGATATCCTCTGGATGCTTCACAGTGACTTGAGCAGACATCAGTGTTGGGAAATTCCCTTGTACAGAACTGTGTGAAGAACCCAGCTGGGTACTTCAGGATGTGTATACCTGCCACCATTTTTTCAAATGATACATGATAGCATACAGTACTATCACTATTTTTGAGGTGTGGAGAAAGCCATGTATGAAGTGGTTGTTGCCTGACTGCAGATAGATCTCTCGCTTTCTTGGCATTCTTCTTTCCAGGTTGCCAAGCCCTGAATTCCACCTGAAGCTGAAAGTTCAGAACCATCTATACAAAAGCTTAGGTTCACACTGCTTTGTTTTAATTGAGAATGGTCATCTCCTTAAATTTCAAAGACTTCCCTATTTAGCTTGCTCTAGTTTTTTAAATAGTTTTTACCAATTGGCAAGGGTAACTGATTACAATTTTTATTACTGTGAGCCAAGTAAGTCATCTTGAATCTCAAATATTCCAGCAGAAGTTTGCTTTGCCCTATAATGGAGTGTCTTGTTTTTGCCTTTGGCAGGAATGGAAAAGGATTGTTTGCTTTTTAATCTTTGCTCATAAACTAAAACTTTATAGCAAACTTATTTTCATTAATAGTGAAAGATGCTTCTGTCATCACCAGCCAATCCTTCAGAAGGCTATGGAAAAGTTATTTCTGTCTCGGTTTTGTGGATTTCCATTGGGTGCCAGCAAAGTGAACAACTTCTTTGGTCCTGGCTACAAGTTCCCACCACAAGTGTTAATTTATTTATTAAGCAAGTACTTTAGTAATCAAGGACTTCTCTTTATAAAAAGCATTTGGAAATAAGTGAGTCCTGAATTGCAAAGGTGGCTTTTATTTCTGCATGTGTAAGATAGATAACTACTTTGCAGCATGATTTAAAGTACTTGATCTCAAGGGCTTTGTCAAATGTATCTATTTCAGAGGATTTCAGAAGACTGAATTACACTCTGCATTATCCATTATTATTTGGAAAGATACTTTCCAAGTGATTCTTAAATAGAACCGCCATTAAATCATGCAAATGAATGTGGAAATCAAGACATTTCTGGGTTTTCCTAAAGGCCAGCAGGAAGAAAGCCAAATAGATTTCTTCGGGAAAAGCATTCAGAATTAGGGGTCCACCACAGAGAAGGCACTGTCACTACTGCTGCCCAACTTTTACTGGTAGACTAAAGAAAAGGGCCTTGGATCCTGAGCATTGCCAGGTACATATGGGTGTAGGCAGCCCTTCAGATAGTCTGGTCCCAAACCAAATAGGACTTTAAATTGGGCTTGGTGGAGAATAGGCAGCTAGCGTAACTGGCACAGAAGAGAATATGATCAGCACACCTGGGTCTTATGACCATTCTTGCTGTTTTATTAGGTAGTCTCTAGGCCATGTTCCAGGAGATGGTATGGTTACATTAATCAAGCCTGGATGTAACTAGGGTGTGAGTTTCTGAGACAAGATTTACATTCTTCAGTTAACACTGCAGTCGGCAAACCAGCTGAAGCAGACAAACAAAACAAAATACCACTTCACTTCTGGCAGCTGATACCTGCACCTCCAACAAAAAAGCTGCATCCTGCAGCACTCCCAAACAATGTACTTAACCCTTTAGCAGGAGTGCAGCCAAATCTATCCAAATCTGCAGATTTCCTCACCCACAGCATGTCTGCCCTGTCTGGAAAAAGTGAAAACTTGTTTGCTCTCAGCCTCCCCAATACTGCCTCCCTGCCCATTTCCACCATTTCCTTGGAATTAGAAGATGGAAGAGAGAGGTAAAGTTGTGTGCCATCTGTATACTGACACTATCTCAGACCAAATTTCAAACTTTACCCAGCAATTTTGCATGGATGTTTAAAAGCATTTGCAAATCATCCTTTTTTCCTAGTAGTATTATTCCTAGCTTGCTCTCTTTTACTTATAACTTACATGCATTCATCTCTACCTTCAGTTTTTGGTTGACCTTCATCATTTCCTCCTTTTGTCTTTAAGGTGCTTAAATCTGAATATTTCTTAACCACCTTTGTCACAACTCTGAAATCCAGGTTCTAAAAAGCAAGGGTACAGCCCCCTGAGAATGAAATGCTGTGCCCCAGTAGCTCACTTGAAATAAAGTACTGAATCACCTGCTTGTGTTGAGGGATCTGTCACACCTACCTGTAATACAAAGTGCCTCTGTCTTTTTTTCTCCCTTCCCCATTTTCAGATATCCCCGAAACCAGTCAGGAATGTCAGTTTTCAGGATGAAGAAGAAATTGTCCGAATAAACCCTCGTGATATTTTAATACGCCGCTATGCAGACTATAGACACCCAGACATGTGGAAAAATGACTTGGATAGGGATGAAGCAGACACTTCACTGCAGTGTCCTAAGGCAGACCATAAAAAGTCAGAATATCTCTACCCCTCTGGGGATGGAACCAAGCTGAATTCCCTAAAAGAGCCAAAAAGTTCTGTGGTACTTAAAACACAGCCTTCCTCTTTCAAATTAAAAAAATCAAAGCGACGGAAAGAAGACGGTGAGCGTTCTCGCTGTGTGTACTGCCAGGAGAGGTTTAATCATGAAGAGAATGGCCGGGGCAAGTGCCAGGATGCCCCTGACCCTATTAAGAGGTGCATATACCAAGTTAGCTGCATGCTTTGTGCTGAGAGCATGCTCTATCACTGCATGTCAGACTCCGAAGGGGATTTCTCAGACCCCTGCTCATGCGACACGAGCGATGACAAGTTCTGCTTACGATGGCTCGCTCTTGTCACTTTGTCCTTCATTGCACCATGTATGTGCTGCTACCTCCCCTTGAGAGCCTGCCACCACTGTGGCGAAGTCTGCGGATGCTGCGGAGGGAAGCATAAAGCTGCAGGGTGAACAGCTCTGGCGCCAAATTGCTGACAAGTCTTTATTTTTGGGAAGCATCAACTTGTGGAAAGCATTTGGCAAACAGAAGGGAAACCTGTCATGTGCACAAGGCCCATTGTGGAAGAAGCATCAGAACTCTTGTTGCATTTTAAGAAAGTTAGCCATGCCTAATAATCTGTTTTTAAGTGCATGGTGCAAGTCGTGGAGGAGTTCTTGCAAAAGGAAAGTTTTTTCTTACGACTGGCAGTGGAAATAAGCATAAACTGCAGTCCGTGCTATAAGGGATCAATTTCAGCAATTTGTGTATTTTGTGGTTTAGGTGATGGGGGGCTCTGAAATAAATGTTTGGCAGAAATTTTTAACTAAATCTGCACTAGTGAGAGCTGATTTAAAACTAAAGAAAGTTAATAACTTGGTGACTGCGAGAAATTTAAATTGATTTTAAGTCCAACTAAATTGCTTATAAATAGTTTTTGGAAGCAACTTTATGTACAAATAACAAATGTTTATATTTAACTATATGGTACGAATTATTAAATCTTCCTTCCCCTTTCCAGTTGCAAAGCAGTTATGGACCACATTTCCAGTCACATTCCGTGATAGTATTTCTCAATATTTAACTAGTTAGTAGCATTTCTATTACATATGGACAAATCAGTATTTTCTGTCTTGTGTCCTTCAACTACATTTTGTACTGAGTTCCCTCTGTGTACATTCTGGTAATTTGAAAGCCTTTAAAATATTAATTATTGTAGTCTTGAATGACCAATGTTTTGTTAAGCACAGGTATAATTGTCTAATGCTCTTATGAGAACATAACATTTATTTTTATATATAAATGATTCTGATTTTAATGTAATGGCAGAAGAGGTTCCTCCAGACACACTTTTTTTTTTAAACCAGGAGAATTTTCTTTTATGGTTTCCTCCAAAATGAAGTTGTTGATCGCTAATGTTTGGGGAAGGAAAATTGCCGTGAGGTAATGCTTATAAAATATATATTTATCATTCTGTTCAACTTAGTATGAGTTATTTCTTCAGACTACTACAGGAACAAAAATATTTGCATTATTTTAATTTTATTGGCCTAGCAAAAACTTTAAAAACTGCAGCCTGGGTAGGAAAAAGCAAGTGAATTGTGAATGAAAGTGGATTTTACTTTGTCTTTTGAGTTGTACGATATTAATAATGAATGTTTAACTTAACGTTTGGCTGTGTGTTCTGAATACCACCTTTGGGGAACTGCCTAAATGTCATCACATGGTAACATAGCTGAGCATACAGGATTTTTATTAATAAAACTCTCTAAAGCAGTGGAGCAGTCATTCATTCAAGCAGGTTAAAGGGTGTGGGGGGGGTTGGAGTAAAATGTTTTTAATACCCTTTTGCTCTCATCATTTCACACTACCTTTTTAAAATTTTGCCCCATTTTTGTTCAACACAGTATATATAGTGATTTGATTTTCTTCTGAAGACTATGAGAGGGTCCCATGTTGGCTGGCCAATTATGCTAGCAAAAACCAGCACTGACACAATCTTAATAGCACTTCCTACTGCAACAGGAAATGTACTACCAAGTGCTATTAATGTTGCACAAAATTGGGTTTCTGCTAGCGCAACATAAATAACCATAACCGCAGAACACTGTTGGACCCTTCAGCATTTTCAGTCACAAGATTCCTCCCTTCCCTACTCCTTTCAGGGCCCATGTATCAAACTGAACAATTGTATATAACACTACCTGTAAAATACTTTTTTAAAGAAAGCATTTATATTTATATGACAGCTTGAAGTGACAACATTGTGTATATAGATCAACTTGAGGTATTATTTCACATTGAAAAGAAGACAAATATATTGATAATTATCAAAGATAAGAGCTTCTTTCTAGTTTTGTACTTTTAAAAAAACCCTGAATGGATAACATGTCAGCAGATATGACACTGTGGCAGCAATCTTAAGTCCTTTCTCTGTATCATTTATATATTTGAAAGCTGCTACCCAGGATGACTTTTATGCTTCACACATTCAGCTCAAATTAGTTGCCTAAGTAGACTGTTAATTTTGCCTCCAACCCCACCCCACCCAAAAAGAGACAGAGAGGAGTAAACTGTGTTCCATTGGTGTCATGGGAATTGTATTCTGGTTTTGATTAAAAATAGAGCATGGCATCAACAACACAGGAAAAGAAATTTGCTGCCTGTACAGAATTGTTCTTTGGAACTTCCGTGTATATGAGAGACAGTGCACGCACATATGTACATATGTCTGAACTATAGGAGGAGGCAAGTCCAACAATTTCCTCTGAGCACAATCAGCATAATACAATTCCTGATTCCTGGAGTATATTTCAATATGAAAATATATATGTTTTAATATTCTTTCTTGAATACATGCATTGCTATTTTCAGTTTGTAGTTAACCACTTTGCTGCTAAATATTTACTATCCGTTACTTTTGAATAAATATTATACCTATTTTTTATTTTTGAAAAACAAATGATTATGGAAAGTAGGATATTGGAGGATTTCCCACTACAATGGAACTAATTTGGAATAATATCAGTATCTGATAACATGTATTGTGTTATCTCAGCCATTTTCATATATGTAGAACTAAGTTTCAACTTTAGTAGGGGAACTTCCTAATTCTTCAACTATAGCAAGCTCACTAATCTGAAGAATATACAACATTGTCTTGCCACAAAGACAGACCATTGGTCCACTGAACTCAGTGCTCTCTACTCAAGAGAGGCATTGGTTTTCAAGCACTCATGCAATGGTCTTTCCCAGCCAAGCTACTGAGAGGGGTTGTTGGAGTTAACTGAGATTACAGAGATTGAATTTGGGACTAATACCAGGTCCCGTTTTCTTAGAACAGCTTCACAAGCACCAGTTCTCATCCCTCAATGTCACCAAGGAGTTAAGTTCATTTAAACAGACTTCAGTGAGTTTAAAAACGTTTTACCATATAACAAAGATTGTAGCCTCTGCATTTTACCTTCTATCCTATTTTCTTCAGGAAGTAAAAACTGCATACAGATTAAGATTTACTATAGAACATGCACATTCTAATGCCTTATAAGGGGTATAATAGCAAGGGACTTTGCTACATATGAATTCACATAGATTCGGAGAAGTCGCCACATGATAAATTGCCAGCCTGGCAAAAGCTGAAATCTGGGGAAGAGAAATGGTTTGAACTGGAGGTGAAAGATGCTGGCTATTACACTGGGGCACCATCTGCTGGACAGTCATAACTTTTGTCATACAGTATAGGAATAATTTGCTTGAAAATACATTCCTTATTATTAGTTGAAGGTACATTCTGGCATTTGGTTAAAAACAAAGTTCAAAAGTGGGGTTGATTTCTACTTTATTTGCCATTTCCTTATACACATTGCTAACTGTTGAATTAAATGGAAATCCACATGCAATGGTAAATGTTAAAAAAAGGCCCTAAATTCCTGTGAATGTTCCAGAATGCTAGTTCATGCAGCTCAATTGCTCCCACTTGGTTCCTCCTGTGGTAGCTACTAAAGCAAGGGATCCTTCATCCCTGGCTTGGTTATTGTTATGTCTGAACCTAGAACTCTTGAGTTTCCCTCCCCTGAAAAGCCAGAGGTGGAACCCAAGTCATGGTTTAGATGTAATAGTAACCAAGCCAGAGAGAGCTTGTTTAGCTGTGAGACACCAAACAAGAAGAGAGCCACATTGGGTTTACACTTCCCAGCTTTTATTTAAAGAGAAAGGGTTAGGGTTAGAAAAAGTGAAAGATGGAGGTTACTATCATTGTGTGTAGGCTGGGCCAACATACCAAATTGGAAATCCAATCTTCACTAAATTCTTAGTCTTAGGCATTGTTTAAATGCAACTATTTCATTGTGGAAGTAGTTATTTTTATATTAAAAACTTGCATATTGCCATCGAACTAGTCATGCTTTAGGAATAAAACAGAAAAGGCCAAAAATACCCATGATCTCACACTGGAAGGTTCAGAAGATAATCTGTTCTCCCCACCTGCACCCCATGTAACACAGTGAGCCTCCTAAGACTACTCTCTTCTTTCAGTTTTCATCAGTTTCGTATAGAAATACTGAATCAGTAAGACTCAGATATAGGCCTTTGAGAATGCAGTGATGAATTTCAATGAGAGAAAGAGGATGTTGAAGCATGGAGTGTCTTCTTTCCTTCACAAAATGACACTTGAGAAAAATTGGATAACCTTGTGATGGAGTGGCTGCACCCTTACTGCCTCTTCTGCTTTGGGAACAAGGAAGCTCAGGAAGAGCTGCTGCTGCTTTGCTCTTAAGCTATTTCCTGTGCCTGGTTTTTGCAGAGAGTCAGAGAAATCCTCTTCTGAGGTTGAGCTTTGTACCCTAGCTTTAGAGATCCCTCTTGTACAGAGCAGTTTGCCTGCAAGACCCTCTACAATCTCACCTGTGGAACGGTCTGTTTTAACTGGGTTGGGAGACCTCAGAAAACACAGTAAGTTTAAAAAGTGAAACCCAAGTTCAAAATGCTTGAAAGAGATTGTTCAGAGTTTGGGGAGACTTCACTACAGTCTTCACTCCAGCACTAATATTGCTATTACAAAGTACCTGTTTTCCATGCTGGAATGTGGCAGTCCCATTTTTCCTCCTCCTAACCTTCTTGTGTACTTGGAGGGAATTCTTGAACTCCTCTGAAATAATACACAAAGTTTGTATTTGCCTTTTATTCTCCAAAGGACATACAGCACTGTATGTGGAAGGCACAGTGGTCCACATGCTCTTATGAGATTAAATTGAGGTGGTTTAGTAGTCCAATTAGAACTATTAAGACAGGCAGCATGTGGTTAAAACTTACTTATGCTTTTGGTGCCCTGATTAAGTAGTATCTATATGGCATTAAATGGCATTTCCCCACTTGAAAGCAATTTATTTGCCACAGTTGTGGTTAGCTTTGAGAACTCAAAAAGCATCTAGTGAGAAAACTTTATATTGGGAGTTGCAATTTAATCTGTACATAGAGGTTCCCCCACTCTTTTGTTCGTGGATATTGCCTTTAGTTTGCTTAGTATCGCTTACTTTCTACCCTATTGACCTCAACAAGTGCCTCATTTGTATATTATTCCATTAAAATCTTAATTGCTATATCTTTCTACTAAATAATTTAGGTTTTAGTTTTAATTCCATGCCATAGATGTATTTCTTTTTTATGTATAAGAATATAGCTGGTTACCTTGAGTACACAATGTAAATATGCATACTAGTTTTGTTATCATACCCATTGTAAGTTGACATACTGGATAATATCATAAAAGTTTTACATTTCAATGTTTTCCTGCAATTACCTAATTAAAACTATCATGAAATTAAAGAGGCAGATGTCATGGTTTTTTGCATTTCATTTTTGGGTCTGCCCAGGGCAGGATATGAGGAAAATATTGTTTCAGAACAGTACATTAAAGAACAGTATAGTGTTAATATTGGGTCAACAAGATGGATTTTTAGTTTGGCAGGACAGCAGTCTCAGATAATTTAAAAATCTCATGTGTTGGAGTTACTTTTTGCCCCAGAAAATCCTGTTTTGGTTTGGAAATAACATTTATTCATAGTAATAACAGGTCTTAAAGGGGTCAACAAAATATTTTCCTGCTCTTCTGAGCTCCCTTTCTGAGTTGTAGCAGTGTCTGTATCCTCAGAGGAGGAACTCTGAGATCTAAGATCTTTGGGATGCTCTGCTAGAAAATGCACCAGATTGCTTCCTAAGTAATAAAAAGAAAAAAGTCCTCTAAAATGCCTAAGCAAATAAGGATGTGCAGGTGTATGATAGATAGTTGTTTCACTTGGCAGAATATTCAGGAGAGGGCAGACAGTTCTCAGCTTTTCAACATTTCTCATCTTTTGTCATGGAAAAGAAGCAATTCAGATGTACACTTGCTGTTCTTTATTAACTTGAAGCCTTTGATATCCATACCCAAATCCAAAATGTCAAGTACAAGTGAAGTGTATTCCAAATTCAATGAGATGTTGTTCTTCACTCATCTTAGTGAAAGTGGACAAGCTCATTTGCTGGAAAGAGTAAGACTGGGGATCCTATATCCCTGACTCTTCCTGGCTCAAAATTTCCCAAAATAAACTCTATGTACCTTATAGAAACAATGCAAGCATGGAATTGACATCACCACTAAAGACACATTCAAAAAATGAACAAAGCTATTTATTAAGGGAATTATTTATATAGGTGAATAAGGTGTCACCCTTCAAATAATAGGTTAAAACAGTTTGAATTTGGTTAAATGTGATTGAGTTACTATTCCTAAATAAAGC